TGCAGTCTAGCCACAACCGTAGTGGGGGGCAGGAGTACACAAGATCAAGGAAACAGCGCAGTTCCCACGCGGAACGGACGAAGCGCAAGCACCGAGATGTTCGCGGCAAAGTTTACGTCTCGGCACTGGAAGAGTGCTTCGTCAACAGCAACTGGATTGCCAGCCAGCTATGTTTCCAGCATGAATATTGAGGGGAAAGGCTATTTATTGCTGCATCTCAAGCCCAAAGATTAAATACAAAAGTGAATTAAAATTTCTGTGGTAACTGCTTAATGAGTGAGGCTGATAATCAAAGGTTGGGGTGTAGCATTTCTGCTGCATTTAAACAGCACAGAAGTCATCTGCAATCTGCCAGTACAAATGCAAACAGCAACTTCAAAGAGCAATGGCATCTTTTTTTTTCTTTTCCTGCTCCCTGGCTAGAATCTCTATATGCCTGTGTACGCTTTGTAGTATTTTTTTCTATCATGACAATTTTTTGTTTGCTTTTTTAAGGGAAGAAAAAAAACCCCACTTTTCCTTTAATGATATTCACCATGGTGAACTTAAAAGTGGCTTACAGAAGCGGAGCCTGGCATTTTCTGTTTGCACCAGTCAGTCACTAGTGATTGATCTCAGAAGCCAGGCTTCATTTCCTAAGCAAAATAAGCTGCAGTTGGCAAAATCTGATTAAAGTGAGTGGAATTTTATCTGATGTGGCTGTTGCCACTCATTTCAGTGTAATGTCTCTCTTTTCAACTACAGAGGACCTGCAGAACACAGAACAAAAAGTATGCATCAGTTTATAATGCACTCTTCTAAAAGTTTAAGTGTTCCTAATAGGCCATCAAACTGCTAGGAAACTAAGCATGCGATGAGTATGTCGGCACGTAGAATAAACTCCTAATATAGCTGTTGTAGGGTTTGTGCTGTCATCCTTACATAGAGGGCTACCGCAAGAGAAGCCACTAGTTGGACTGACGCTACCGTTAAATCCATCGTGCAAAAATTGCTGCCAGTGATCGTGAGCTAAATATAAAAAAAAATTGAGGGGTCTTGACTTTGCTTCCTGATTTTTGAGCCTTTAGGGCATAGTGGATCCATCGTAGCTTCTCCCTCTAGGAGTATGAAGCCTGAAAAACGTCCGAGATCCTGACCCAAACAAGCCATGCCAGCGTTCTTCACTTTGCTTGCTGGGAAGGGCTGGCATTGCTCCGTGTTACTTCCCAACAGACAGAAGAGTTCCTTTTCCTCTCTTTTCTGAGGAAGGGGAGGCAGTGAGAGAAGGAAGAGTAGGCGAAATTACGTTTGAAGAGGTGCAAATATAAAACTGACAGGCTTGGAGACAACACGTTTCATTTGAATGGCTATTTGCAGAGCAGCTCCTCTGCGAGATAACTAATGGCATGTGAAAAGGTCCTACGCACAGAAAACAGTCTGTCATGTTAAAATAAAGAGCTCTGAAGCTGTGAAGTCTGGCATAGCTGTAAAAATAACTTTCGCTTGGGAGGGGAGGCTGGGAACCCCGCAGCTCCCGATTCTTTTCAAAGACAATGCCTGGTGCCGCAGCAAGGAACACGGAGGCTACTGTGGCTCCTACAAATCTCCACCAAAACCTTAATTTAAATTACTATCGAAGATTAAAGGCTAGCGTAAGCCTACGCTCCCTTGCAACCGCATTAATTATTAAGGCAACACGCAGAGCTCTGTAATTGGCTCCTGTCTGTTAGCACAGTGCTGAGTTTCTAGATTAGGGTGGTGGCAGGAGGAGGAGGAGGAGGAGGATTACCTACAATTTCTGGCTTTGCTGGTTTGGGGGGAGAGGTGTCTTCTAAAATTGGAAGCAATGTTAGGAAAAATCAGGGTGCCCTTCCCGTAGCAGAGGCCAGGAGGGAGGAGGGGGCAGCCCAGCTGCAGGGGAAGCGAGGACGCAGCGCCGAGCTCCCCTGCTAATTGCAGCCCGAAATTAAACGGTGACACTGCCAGGAAGTGAAGACAAGGCAACCCCCCCCCCCAGCCAAACAAAAAAATACCTTTTCTCCCAACTCCTGGCAAAAAAAAACCCCATTAGCCACTGTGGTAGGTTTTATGCAGCTGTAACGTCTTGCTTTCATGCGGTTCATTTTATTGGGAAGTTCTGTCCCTTCCACCGGCCAGAAACCACACAGCCCCTGTGAGGGGCCTCTCTCTCATTCTTTACTATGTTTACAAAGTGACTGATAAACAACTTCACAAAATGGGCCCGCCCCCCATTTGAAGAACACTTGGAAGTGCAGGTGTGAAACCGAAGCCCCCAGCTCTGCCAGCAGGTCTGCTGCAGCCGACCGCGTGTCCTCGGTCTGTGGCCAGTCTCCCTCCAGTGACCCACTGTCAGCGAAGACCACGCCACCCACAAGCGCACAGAGTGGGTAAGGAGCACGTGCGGCCAGCTTGGCCGACGTACGGCAGCACGTCACCCTGTGGTAACAACCTTTTTCTGCCTCGAAGCCCGAGGCTTGCTCCCGAGCTGACTCGGGTCATCTCAATCCGGGCCAAGCCCACCGCAGTGTTTAAATCCTGGTGAAAACTTCAAAACCACAACCCACAAGACAGGCAAGAGGAAAAGGGAGAGATCTGAGGTACCGCCAACGTCTCCACGTGCAGATCCAGGGAAGAGTGGGATGGGAAATTATTCCAAGAGGTGGGAAGCCAAGAAAGGGGGTGGACAGGGTGCTCCTGCCCGGGAGACACGACGGCCTCCAGGTAGAGGCCATCTTCCTGGAAGAAGGAAAGCAGCGAGTATTGTAGTCATTCCGGCATCGTTTAAATCTGAAAATTGAAGACGGTGCTGGAGAAACCAGCACCGGTCACTTCCCCCCCTCAGCCAGAGCCTGGCCAGGGAAGGGGTCACAGCAGCGGCCCTGGGCAGGCCACGCTGCATCCCCTCGGCAGCAGATATCACGACGACAACACCGCCACTAAATTGTCAATCAAGTTTAATGCATCATAAAGAAGTAAAACTACATTGGCATATTTAAGACAAACACTTTTTTTTTCTATGCACACTATCCACTGGACAGTCCCCTTTTCAAAATAACTACTTTTAACAGTCCAAGACACTTCTTCAGAAATTCTTCACATATTCAACCTTCCACGCTTTTCCTTTTTTTATTTGTCTGAGAAGGAAAAAAAATCATTAAACCTGAAAACATTTACATTGCAAGCCACATTAGAATGCATAATTGGCATACAATAACCAATGTATTACAATTGTGTTTTACTTAGTTCACTTTGTTCATCAATAAAAGAATATAAAAATCTTGTTCAACCGAGTGTTGTGTATTAAAATAGATTTGTATAGTACTGCACAGTTTCTCCCGGAGTTGTGAAAATGGTTGAAGGGACCATGTGCTGCCTAGTGATGGGCGACGGAAAAAGCCAGTCCCTCGTGTGGTTTTTTTTTATTTAAAAAAAAAAAGATATTCGGCACCATGTGATATGCTGATGTGAGAGACTAGCCTTGTGTCGTGCTCTGGTGGCTTCTTGCTTTCCTTAAGTACCTGTTGTGCTAATTGACAGAGAACTCATAAACGACAGAGACGATGGCATCTGGTGTGTGTGCATGACCTTGAGAAAAACCGGGGTGCCCATCACTACCTTCCCGGGCAGGCCGCAGAGTGACGGGGGGCTGTGGCCTACGAGGGGGCCAGGCGGACCCTTGCAGTATCAGGAAGACTAGCTAGTGAAACAAGCAGGCGCACTGGGATTTTCTCAGGCTAATGCTAAACGCTTCCCAAATGTGCTAAAATCCAACAAAATACTAAAAAGGAATCAAGTTTCAAAAAAAAAAACAACCCAACAAACCCTTTACGTTTTCCATAGCCTGTCCCTCCCCCCAGAACTCTTGATATTATCCAGTACGAGAAACAACAACCCCTTGAGGCAGTTTTTTTTTTCCTGTACCATTTCAGCAGATATTTCTGCAAGCAAAAAACAAAAATAATAATTAAAAAATCACGTTACATATTTTTAACAATAAAAATGCAGTACAAAAATGTAAAGTTATCTTTTTGGCATATTATCTGTACTGGCAAGAAACAAAAAACAGAATGTTTATTTGCTTTTTCTCCTTAAAAAAAAAATAATCCAAAATTAACAAAAAAGAAAACCCCCAAAATAATCTCTTTAAAAAACAAAACCCAACCTGCCAAAGATATCCACTATTATGGTTTATGCTAAATCTTGCACAAAAACTCCATGAGAAAAATACACCGATAGCAAAATAAGTAAAAAGGACCTGCAAAAAAGTAAGGAGTTTTACAGTCATACTTTTTTAAATACTTCGGAACGCATATACAGAAGCATCAGCATGAAAATACTTCAATATTTTACTAGAAATGCTAACTTCATACAGTTTCTTTATTTAAATATCTGCAATTCTCAACTCTAATAATACTGAAAAAAACCCGATCTTTTGTTTCGAAGGCTCTGTGAGTGTCCGTGACGCCGTTCTGGTCAAAACGGCCCCATCTCCAGGTCACCTGAATCAACGGGGCCAACTTTGTTCCTCTGATAAGAATCCATGTCGAGTCCTAAGTAGTTCAGTTTCTGGTTATCTCACCGATTTCCCTCCCACACACAGCTTTCAGCCCAACTACTTCTCTACTAGCTCACTAACTCTTTGCATTGAAATTTTTCCCCTTAAAGCAGAACTGGAAACCTGTCTGCCCCCCACAAAAGGATATCCCGCTTCCTATCGGCCATACTTTTCCTGTTCCTCCTCAGTCATAAATACATTAAGGCCAACATAACAAAAGAAATCTCATAAGCACTGAAGGTCTCGGCAAATACAAAACCGCAGCACAACCCGCTCCGTGGGAACCTGCTGCCACAGTGACCTACAAACTGGACTGATTGGTTTGCGAGTTTCTACGCGTATCAAAACTGAGACTGTTCCTTATCTCCTTTGTTTCAGTTTAATCTCTCCTCTGCGCATGTGTATAAAGTTTTTCCCCCCTTCCTCGCTCTCGCAGCCGGCTCTGTCAGTTGTTACCCTGTGATTGCTGCAAGGCTTTGTGCATGGCAGCGGAGGCAGGGGAGGGTTTGATCCAGGGGACAGTTAGCAGGGAGGAGGTGGTGGTGGTCGTCATGGTAACCTGAATCATCTGCTCGTTTTGTATCAGTCTAATGAGGGTTTTGAGACGTTCCAGTGATGACTGAGTCCCTTTCTGCTGGGCCAACAGGCTGGTTTTTAGCTCTAAGCATTTCTGTCAAATAAAGAGAAGGGGAGAGAGAAGGAAAGACTGAGAATACATTCAAATTGGTGTCAAACATCTCTCCAAACATCCTTTTGTGTCTTGAGCGCACGTCGTGCTCAAATGAAAGATATTCTCCTTTGGGGATAGCAAAACCACAGCTTAACGAATGGAGTAATCACCAGTGCTGCATACGCTGCAGCAGCTAAGGTAACAATATTCATCCCGGTCCAAATGCATTCAGAGGACGTTTCTGACCTCATCCTCTAGGCAGCCTGGCAGAAATGCCTTCTGCACTCCAAAGAGATTACTGGCACGGGATTGTAATAGCTGTATTACTGGAAAGTACCGGAGGCACCAGTGAGGTCTCAAAATCTTGCCAAAAGACATTGATAAACGCTCGAGGGATAAACCTCACCATGATGCGTTTTGTATGTGCCACACATTTTAGGGAGTCAGTACTGTGAAGATAAGTTGATCTCTCTAAACATGATGTCAATATCTTTCTGGCAGAAAACTTGACCTAACACACTACTGTTATACCACCGCAGTCACAAGAAAGCCTTTCTCCTATGGGGCGGCCAAAGCGCACCCCACAATCGCTTGAAACGTTTTATACAAACCTACATGAAAATGAGCACGAGAGGAGGAGCCAGACGAAGGCATCCCAAATCTCCCTCTTCTCCACGAAGAGGTAAGAAAGAATCAGTAAACCTCCCTTCCCTCCCCAGCTGCGTCCTGCTGCAGCTAACGTCCCATCCTTCATGCTATCAGCTGGCCTGCGAGGGACTATGTGACAGCCCAAAGCCCTGAGCCTATTTGCAAGATGGAAGGGGACAGTAGCCTCTCTAATATCTGAAACCTCCTGTTTTCTTTCTCCCAGTGGGCCCAGGGGTCTGGTGAAACTGGTTACTTGTCTGCAGACAGCTCCTCTTTGGCTACGGTCTAGACTGCCCAGGGTAGGGGGGGCATTCTCCAGTGCTGGGGAAGCGGGAAATGCTCACTTGAAAGTCAAGTTGTATGAAAAGCAACTGCGTGGAGCTGCTCAGAGGTTGGTTTAGACAGATGAAATCTCAGGTGAAGGATAAATCATGTTCTGTTTTTACCAAATAATACCATTGCACCTGTGGTGTGTGTGAGAGCGTTCTCTTTAATGTAAATCTCTGCTAAGGCAAATGTCAGAAATTAAATTGCTCTGTGCCGGCACACCTTTAATTGCTTTTCCCCTTTCAAGTGGATATATCTCCAATAAATAGAACGAGCTGATATTACCATTTAAATAAGACAGTGTTGCCCACTGAAAGAACCTGATTCTGCTTAGGTAGAAATCTTACTGATTTTGACAGCCCTGACATACCCCTGATAGCTGACTGCATCCCCAAATGCTTTTCTTTTTCCAAACACCTCATCCCCACTGCACTCTCCTACCTACTAAAGATATCCCGTACCCCAGAGTCACTTCTTCATACACATGTGTGTTTCCACTAGTGCTGATGGTGGCTATACACACTTACGGGGAATATTCCCCACTGTGATGTCTTTTAATAAGTTATTGCTTTTCTTTCCACTCTATTTTAAATGTGATAAATATTTTAACGTGCCTCCTCTGGATAACTGCAGTGGTAAAACGAGTAGTGACCAGTTACTCCTGCAGCTGCCACTTTGATTTTTCCAGAATAAGGAAGTTTCAAATATTTATTGAGACTGCCATGCAAGCTAACAGCTACCCCGTAAGAGTGGGCCTGACGTGAGGTAGCCCCAAATAAGTTCCTTCAGCCACGGAGGATAGGAATTACGGCTTTGAACTCAGCCCAGTCATTATTGTCAGAGACTGGTCCTCATAGCATGGTATGGGTGGGAGACATCTCCAGCCAGCGTTTAGCTTTGAAATGAGTTTGCGGAAAAAACGATTGTGAATCCATTTCCAGTCATGGAGAGGTTGTCACAACATTCAGCCCCTGAGACAAATAAAGATGGTTATTTCTACCTAATCTCGAGAGTTTTGAGCTAACAGACAAGCAGCTACCACTGGAGGACACGCTTGTGACAAAACTTTTCACCGGGAAAATGGAAATGCCTTAAAGTCACTGGGTAGATCAGAGCTGTGTACGGCACTACAAGGCAGGCAGCCATGGCTATTTTGAGGGGGGGGAACAGGGGGTGTGTGTGTGCAACAGCAATTCAGGTGATTTCTCCTCCTCAGCCTGCCACAGCAGCTTGCTTTTGTGCATAAAGGAAAACCACATGTTCTTCCTCAGAAACACATTCACACTTGAACATCTATAGCTTGGGAGAATAAATCATTTTCTAGCCACAAAATACCAGTTTTTCAGGCATAAATTCTTTATAAACATCTCTGCAGGAGACTCAGTGTCCCCAGTCAGGTGTCCTACCTTCACTGCATTGTTGAGAAGTCGATCTTTTTCTTCTAACTGTCTATGCTCACTCTTCAGCTCACTGCTTCTCTTTAATAACTTTCGCTTCTCTTCTTCTTTGACTGCAGAACAATAAGATTAAGGATGCAGAAGTTAAGAAAAGGACATGTAGCAAAACTGTGCACTTGACAACAGAAAGCAGAGGCACCTATTTTGAATGGTGAGTTTCTGGTCTCATTAGCCTTTTGTTGGCAGGTACAGCCAAATAAATCTGGAGTTTCTGCTTGCATGCATGTGTCTACATCAACGGCTAGCACACAGGACAACCCCAAAGCTATAGTGCACCTTTGAGATGAATTAAAATTAATCCTTGGACCACATGGGGTCCTGGAGGTCTCCAGGAAAGAGGTGAATGGTATTTGAAAACAGGTCATCCACCTGGAATGGCAATAGTTAGCGACCCTGGCTGAAAAGCACACTAATAACAGTACCAGACCTCTGCAAAGCTCCTTACAAATATGATCTAATGCCCCAGACAGCCCATTGTAAGAGTGAGACAGGGAACTAAAAGAAGTAATAGTTAGCGCAGAGATATCATACGACACCTGACGCTAATGATTGTGATACTGAAACAATTAGGAGCTGATATTGTTGTAGTATCCGAGACGCTAGTCTGGCATCGTGCTACATACCCAGTGACATGGCTCTGCCTAGCCTGACTGTGAGTCTCTGCCTCCCAGCCTGATACGATTCTGCCTCAAAATCCTGTTTTCAGCCCTGTTCTCAGGAAGGCACCACTTTGATGATAGCTTCCTCCACAGAGTGAAGTTCCTGAGAAATCAGTCTCAGCCTCCTTAAACACAGAAGATAGCGAAGGAGCAGACCAAGGGGAAGGGGAGAGGAAGTGACCTGCTGTTCCCAGTCACAGCCCCTTATAGCCCTTTGCTTAATAATGCCATCATACCTGGTAGCATTACAACACTACTTTAATATTAGTGCTGTGAAGGACTCAAATGGCATCACCCGTCACGAGCAGGGAATCCCTTGTCAATAGCTGCGTTAATCCCTACCTGTTTTATGAGTAACATAGGAGTGAACAATAGCCAGAGTTCCAGTCCATGGCACATTGTCATCTTTCTTTAACACCTATAAGCCCAGGAAATAATAAAAAGTTAGGACTCCATAACAACACGCATTAATGTTTTTCCTCCTCCAGCCTCACAGCGCTGCAGGACCAGATCTAGGGTCCTGGTCTCAGAATTCGCAAGCTGAAAAGTACCGAGAGAATAATTTGAGTAGCCATCTCCATTGGGGCTTACTCCTTTATGCATCACTATAAACAGCGCTACCAAACAGTGCTAGAAGGGGATTACAAATCCTCTGTTTCTTGTTGCCGTGGCCAGAAGACATTCTTCAGCCCCTGACAAGCAGATCTCCACACTACCAGGAGTGTTGTCTCCTCAGCATGGGAGAAGTTGGTGGTCCATATGAAAACACGAGAGTGTGGATCTAATCCTGGGCTGCTCTGCTCTCTGCAACTGCATAGTAGAACTTCCCCTTGACATTTTCAAAGGAACAGAACAGTGATCTCAATGCTAAACACAAAGAACTCTAAGGCACAAAATCTAAGCCTCCGCTCTACAATTTAGTGACACCGTACTGTTTTAGTAATTGTTTTCCTGTTCGTGCAATCAGCATTATTCACAGCAACTAGACAAATTAGCATTTCTGACATGACTATGATCAATAGTTGTGTGTAATAAACATGATTTAAAGAAAAGGAAGTGTTCTCCTCACAGCTTTCAGATCCACTGGTGAACAGTGTCTCCTTCTGACACTGTCTCCCTCATCTGTAACATTTACATTACTTGTATGGCAACCCGACATGCTGGCAGCTTTATGGTAAAGAAGGGAAACAAAGGAAGTTAAGAGACATTTTAAAAGGACAAATCCCAGCAGATGCAATTACAGGGAAGCTAAGGCACTCAGTGTATGTTCTAAGTCTAGGACGATGAAAATACCAGAAACAAATGCTGCAAACTGCACTAAAAGCCTCTCAGTGTTACTTTAGCTACTGTAGTCCCCTAAGGTGTGACCAGAGGTTAAATTAGTTTAGTGGTACACAAATTCGAGGTCTCTCCCATTTTCTGGTCTTGGCATGCTGTCCTCCGGCTAGCTTACCTTCTGTTGGCACTTTGGACAGACCCAAACCCCCTTGGGGGCAGTTTTGAGGGGTGGGTCCAAGCAGTTGAGGTGATATGCTCTGGGACATGTGCCACAGGGCTGCAAGTTAACGCCGCGCTTGCAAGCAGTGCAGTGTTCATCGTGGTGGATCTCATTCTGCAGGAGAAGAAGGATGGCTTGGGTAAAGTCAATCCATTGAGAACTACTCTCTATACAGCATTCAAAGCTGCTATTGCAGCAGACAGGCTCATTCAAACACAAAATCTAATTGTCAAAAGGACCCTGGCTGCTGTAGAAGAAGACAGAAATAACGGTGTATGATAGCAACAAATACAAACAAACAAGAAGCCAGAAGGAAGTTCCATAAATTGAAACAGATAGAAAAATAAAAAACAACTAATCAAATACAGGAGGGAGTTGACGAATATAGTCAGCTTGTGACGCAGGAATTATTTCACTTGGTTTTGATAATGTATCACTCCAACGCATGTATCACCATGCACAGCTCTAGTCTGAAGCATGGGTCAAAGTCAATATGTGGATCCCTTGTCCTTCCAGTCCAAAGCAGAAGGAAGCAAGCAAGAAAAAGTTCCTGGGGAAAAAGCACAGTTCCATGTTTTATGCCCATTGCCTCAAAGAGCGGGTAGGAAAAGGGGACACTTGAGCAGAACCTTTTGCTGTGTACCCTCTCTTCTCTTGTGAACTCCTCTAGAGGGCTCCTCTGTCCCTCTGTTCTCCCTGGCACTAACTGTTCTCTGTTCAGACTTGCTCTGACAACCTTTCTCCAACAAGACTGATTAGTACTTTGTCTGATGCAATATATAAAATGAACTAAGACTCATCAACAAAGTTACAATGTCATGTAGTAAATTGCTATGCTAATCTGGTGGCAACGTTAATTACTCTTTGTATAATTAAGTGCATTTTAATAAAGGAGATACTGATTTTGAAACTCTCATGGCTTGTGAATGATTATAAAAACCCTAGATTTTCCTCGTGCTTTTCCAGGAAGGAGAATAATAATTTTGTATCTTTCTAATTCCAAAAGCATATTTTCATTTTTAGGGATATTAATTATAATGTTTCATGATAGTTTTAGTCAGGCTTGTATCTTGAATTCTAACTCAGTCCTGTCAAAAAACTGCTCTCCAAAATATTTCTCTTTAGAAATTACCTGCTCCAAAAGTCTTAATTTTAACCTCAATGTAAAGAGAGTTAATCTATACAAACTAGAATGGTTACTCATTTTTCTTAAAATTTTCATTAAGCCCACAAATCTGGACTAGCAATTTCTCAATCAGTGGATTCGACAAAGGCATTAAAGTCAAGCTTTGCATATGAAAGCCCAAGAGTTCATCTCTTTGAAATTCTAACTTAGGGGCTCAAATATTTAGTTAAGTGGGAAATGTTTCACACAAGCAATATGAAAGGCAAAGAGAATACTGCAATTTTGTACCTTGGCAGAGACTACAATAATCAGAAGCAAGCAATGAATTACACAGTAATGAGAAAGACACTGGTAATACGTAAATTTTGCTACACATACCTTCCAGAATGGATCCTCATTTGCTAGCATATGAAAGAAGGGCAGAGAACAGATTAGTGGGAAATACGTAGCTGCAGTGAATGCTAGTTCTCAGCTATGGGAGTAATTTTAGTGAAGCTGTGACACAGGGGATCAGGACATTGCCAAAATTAACGTGGGCAGGAAAGAATGCAACAGCAAGCAACGGAGTTACCATTTGAGATTTAAAAATTTACATTGCAGGAATCCTACGTCCAAAGGTCTGATGCTAAAATGTCATAGTATGAGAAACACATTCTATTTCAAATTTTCAGAAATTTTCATGCGGAGCTCCTCTCCACATGCCAGTAGTCAAAAAGTCTTTCTTAAGGACTTCAGCCTGCTGGGTGATAAACAGTCTGGCCCTGAACCAGCAAGGCACTTAAGGAGGCGCTTAACTTGGAGTATGAAATCGGTGCCACTAACTTACCGTTAAACACATGTTTAAATGTTCAGCTGATTCATGGCCAAAATGGTCAGCTACTTGTGGGAGTGAGCTTTACGTTATCATCAACTCTTTATCATCAAACTACTCCACCCCAAATGCCAAGATTTCCTGACCTTTTGATGAACTGAGTCTGTAGTGATTGCATTCACAGCCTGATAAGAACAAGAACCATCAGAGCTCACCAGAAAGGAGGCCAAGCCTTTCATAAAAATATTTCTGAAATTCATCACGCTTTGGTCCAAAAATAAAAAGCCAGAAAATTTTAACAGCTTTATGGAAACCGCAGAGTGGGTCGTAATGTTTGCTGCCGATTTGTAAGAGGCTGGTGCACACTGTCCCAGTGACAAATGGCTGATGGAGAGGCCTTTCTTTGGGTTAAAGTAGAGACAACTAAACTGATAGTTCTGTCCTCCTGTCCTTCTTCAGCTCCCTCTCTGATCACTGTGGGAATACAGCTGCCCCCGCGTGATCCCTCATATAAAGACCAACCTGGGAGCTGCTTCCCGCTGTTACACATTCATTTTATACACTGATGTACGCATACACATGAAGATGCAGACACATTCAGACCTCACACACATGTAGAAAGAGGAACATAAGAATGAAGGAACAACTTCACTGAAGTTAGATCAAAGGCTATAAAGCCCAGGGTCCTTTGTTAACAGCATTCAGCGCTGCTACTCACACACAGAGTGCAAGAACACGGCAAACACAGAGTAAATTTTTCTACTCCAGAAGTATCCTTCCAGACACTAGCAGTTTATGGGCTTCCCTGACCTGGAGTTTGCATCTTCATTTTTATATTTAACAGCCTTAGATAATTTTTTTTTTCCCATAAATTTGTCTACTTTTCCCAACAATTGTAGCATCCTTTGGCAATGAGTTCCATAAATAATCACAGACTTATAAAATCTGTAGATGTCACTTCATATACACAAATACACAGAGATCCACCGTGATATGACACCACAATTACTCAGGGGATATAAATGTTATTCAGATAAACAGAGGCTTGATAATTGAAGAGTCTTTTCTACAAATGATACATGTCAGGGGATGTGACCTCGTTTCAGGTAAGACATTTTCAGATAAATGAATCCTGATTAATTGACATTTTGCTCAAAATTTACAAGAATTGTTCTCTTCTGCTTTTCTGGAAATGACAGTTGTTTCCTGTACTTCATAGGGATTTTGTTAGTTTGTTTATTTCTCTTTTCAGCTCACTTTAGAGTAAAAGTTTTAAACATTTAAAATTATGTCCACTTCTGCCTTCTAGTTGCTGAAAAATTAAACTGGAGACAATTTTTGTAAAGAGGCATTTTATAAGAGCAGTCAGCTCTGCACCTAAAGTGGACAACTACATCCCTACAGTGCCAAGCTGTCTGGGACAGCGTCCGTCTGCAGTTCAGAGCTTGCACAGCATCTCGCACAATGGCTCTTGGTGCACGTAGTCAACAAACCCCAACAGTGAGGGGGAGTTCTGCTGTAAAGAAGTCCAGCTTAAAAATGTCAGAATATGCGGAATCCCAGCACAGATTCTGGATGCTGGAAATACCAAAGCTACAGAATTTGGAGAGGAATTAACAGTTAAGGAGAGAGTGCTGATTTCCAAGCAGCTCTGAGACAGCTGCATCACTGGAGCTCTGTCACTTGCCTTCTTCATTGCAAATAAAATGGGAAACACGCGGCAGAAAGAAGGTCAGAGATATCAAACCCTAACTTAAATGAAATCCACCGAGGGGCTAACAGCACAGCGTGCTAACATTGCCATTCTCTCCTGTTTTTTCCCATGTGTTTACATGGGAAAAACAAGTGCTACGATAAGACAAATAATAAATTATAATTTTAATTTTGAAGATAAAACTAAGCCAGGAATAATGTTCTTTCCACTGGGGCTCACGTGAGCATGGGCTCCTGCTAAGAGGCATGTCATCATAGCTGTTTACCATGTAATAACCCCTCTTGTCCTCTGAGACCCTATGCATGAGAGCCATATGGTAAGTAGGCCAACTGCCTGCATCTAGCACATGAAGTTTTGAAGGCAGAGAGAAGCACCGCTGCATTTCAGTTGGCAATCACGTGGTGCAGGAACTCACGGCAGGGCCAGAAAGGTGAATCTCAAGCACTAAACATGACACTTGACAGGGATATCGAGCAAACGCTGAAAAACTGCCAAAACTTCATGTCATAATTGAAATTACCCCTGTAAATGCTCCTAATACTGAAATACTATTTGGCTTAGAAAAAGGCCTGTCTTCCCTTACCGCTAATGCACCACAGTAGAGCCTAAGTTATAAAGGCAACACGAGGGCGAGGACGTAATCACATTTTTTACTGGATTTCTCTCCTCTTCTGAAATGCAACTCAAGCTTCTCACTTTCTCTCTTAAAATCCTACATGGGCCCTGTCTGAAGAATTAAATGGTACTCAATGTTCTCTGTGTTTCACCTCCCACCTCCCAACTCCTTGCCTTCTCTATATGTTGCACATTTTTCCTGGAATGGGCTTCTTCACAGGAGCTAATCATCATCATCCCCAAATGGCTCCTCTGAGTTGTTCATTCTCAAGGCTTTTACCATGAAATTTTCAGCACCTGAAGTTCTTATAAATACAAGATTAGAAGGCATCTTCAAGGCCATCAAATCTAGATTTATGGCTCCAGCTCTTGGAGTCAGAACAATTGTGTGGTTTTCAGCCGTTGTTTTTAAAGCAAAAATGTATGGTAAATTTCTAGCCTTTGAGGATGGACAGCAGTTTCTTAAAGCTGATGAAAACAGGCAAATGAAAAGCCCAGAATAGTAATTATTTTTTTAAATCCCAATTTTTCAACATATATTTTTAAGTACTTGGGGTTGGCAACACTGCCTTCTTCAATCAGTCCTCTCACTGCATGGTGCTTACAATACTAGAGATTGGATCTTCCACTGACTGCAGAGACTTTGGATCCGTTTCTACACAGGTTTGACCTTTAGCCTCATCCTTCAATTGTTTTTGCAGGAAAGCCATCTATTTTCACTGCACACTAAAAAGTGCAGGGACCTTACACGAAGTAATGCCCTATGGTACCCTAGCAGTAATTCATATGAAATCCTACTAATAAATATTTAACATGTCATTAGAATAGTAGTATATTCATTTAAAAATATGCTTACCTCTTGTTGAAAGGAACAAGGGGTTATTCAAATAATTTGATGCAAGGCGTTTCCGCTACAAGGGAAAAGAAACCAAGCACAGTGTCATTGAAAAGTGCTCTGGTCGTCTCTTACCATTTCATATCAACTATCTCCATGAGCTTCCCTCACACATAACCAGCTATCCAGAAGCCATTTCTGTGACTTGGAATATTCCTTGCTAACCCCTGAGACAGTCATACAAACAGTTGCATTATTTACCTTTCTAACAAGTTCTTCACAGAGCAGTTAGATGTGCATTAGATTTTATCAAGAAGAGAGAAATGCAAATTGCAAGTGTTATTGATTGGGTTGCAGGATATGTTACAGAGGTCGCTAAGAGCAAGGCAACAGCAACAGCAACTCCAAGCCTCGCAGATAAACAACGTCCATAAGGGAAAAACCGTGTAATAAATCGTTGCTGTGAGATGACATCTTTATTTGCGTATATAGAAATGGTGATGGGCTTCTTCCCACCTGCAGAAAAACATCACTACCTTCTGTGACACTTGCCTACAGTTCGTAGGAACATACTTTGCTTGCAAGCAATGTATTAGGGCCTAAGCAAAATATTCCTCTTTCAGAAGTTAAGGTGTACGACCTCTAGGAGCTGGCAGTGGTTTCAATCTGCTGAGAGCACCAAAGATTTTCAAACTTACAAACACAGACCACTGGAAATCCGACTGAGATATTTAACTAATTTAATGCAGCCCATCGCCGACTTGTCAGATGGTAAAAGCTGTTCGTCAATAGCAAGCCAGGCTTCATTAACAGTCTATATAACCCCTAATTGTTTCTCTGAGCCATCCAATACTTGTACAGCAGGACTGGAAACAGTACCATTTTCCTCCATTAGATGTTGTTAGACTCTGCTTGGAGGAAAATTAGAGGGTTTTTGCTAATAAATGATTTATTCTGTGGTGAGTAAACTGTTCTCTTATTCTCTGGTGCCTGCCAGTCTGTTAATGAATTTTGAATAGATGTTTTTTCCTTCAAAAAATACCCAGCCCGAAACTTAACCCTTTCCTATGTGGGGAAAAAAAAAAAGCTACTGAGGGTGGGAAAATAGAATGGTATCTCAATTTTTTTTTGAAGAAAAAAGCTTTGAAAAGAAAAAGCACAGCATTCAAGTGAAGACATAAGACTGTGATCACATTTTTGTAATCAAGGAAGTTAGCATCACCACCACAGATGCTGAGCTCCTGCCGTTTTGAGGGGCGTTGGCAAATAAAAAGTCTAATTTATATGCAATTTCAATTTAAACAATCATGAATTAAAGATCATTCAGTAGACTAACTGTAAATTAAACTGCACCAAAATGCCTGAAATGCCACAAAATACCTCAACTCACTGATTAGCAAATCAATCAGAGCAGCTAATTGATCAGAGAAAAACCATCTGCCTCCATTTTACTTGAACAGCATTCCCCGTGGTCAGTACTTAATGACAACTCCTAATGAGGACACAGCTGATCAGCCACAGGACTCTTTCACAGACATTTCTTTCTTCATGCCATCTTTCACTTCAGGATATGCTTTTGAGAATAGATATAATGAGAAGTATGAACTAGGGGTGCAGCAGACCTCCTCCATCACCTCCTCCATCCCTGCTCCAAGATAATTGAGCTTCTCACAAACACTGATCAGACTACAGCCAGAAAACTCTGCTGCAAGTATTTTAATAAACTCATTGGGACAAAAGGGTCTAAAAGAAGACACTACAAATTTCATGCTAGCAAGGCTAAGGTTCCTCCTGTGTCAAATACTGGACATATGGACATCAGTATTTGCTCTGAAGAGGTTGCTAGAGAAAAGTTGAGGAGTTCTGAAGAATTCAAGTGCCCAGAGCTGCTCTGGACTATAAAAATCTCCAATACTTAAAAAAAAAGAACAATCATGCCACTAAGCAGCTTGACTACAGTGGCGGGTTTCTTCTTAGCCTCATCTGTCTGCTGTCTGCCAACAAACACAGAAATGTGAAATGTTGGCATACCAAAAATTCTGCATCGCTTGTACCTAAATAAAGAAATATCACTTTCTTTAGGCTTAAAGAACTCAGAACACAGACAAATCTTGCTTAAATGGAGAGCTGGCTGCAAATCAGTTTCATTCCTGTAGGAAATTCAAATAGTAACCCCAAACTGTGGTGAAATTTTAAAGGTAGAATTTTAATAAGCTGAATAAATGCATATATGTCAGTTCAGAAACAAAGAAAAAAACAATTTCAGAAAAAGTTAAGTCTATTTAAATGCTGCTTTTACACCAGGTTTGCAATCCAATATTGTGTAGGACCAAATTTTGCTACTGCTATAAATGTTAACAGCATAAGTGTAACACACAACAGAGATTATCCAGAGCATTTTATTTTTAATTATGCATTATTATATTTATTATGCAGGCTTCCATACCCCCTGCAGAGTACACTGATTCTTAAACCAACACATCCCTTTTATGAATGTCACTAATAAAAAAAAGCAAAGTTCTCCATTTATTATTTGGCACGTAGGAAAAGAAATAGCAATGCAAGTTTGAACATAATGCAGCACTTCTGTTCTTCAGGTCTGACCTAAAGGGACTGTCTGCATGGGTGAAAGAGTAATTAGGTCCCACATTAATTTAGTCCTTTCGGCCTTTATTAAAACTAAGACGAATTTTAGTTTGAAGCAGGTGATGTTGTGGGGTGAAAACCTGTTGCTTAGATACTGAGATAAGATGTTTTCTTTCTTTTTCACATCAATATACCTTTACAAGTAAATGTGTGGTTCTGCATTCATATATACTTTTGTAATAAGAAGCACTTAAACCTTTTATTGCCATGAAATAGAACTGTGGTAAAAAAAGTGAATGATAAAGTACCTCTGTTTCCAAGAGTCCACTGTAGGCTGGATTTGCTGTGCTTCTTCTCTTTCTTTCCTGACGCTTGCTCTGGATTTCTGTAACCATGGGAAGAAACATGAATTGTACGTTTCTCATTCATCAGGGAAAAATGTAGATCTAACTTGTTAAGCAAGATGCTCTTACCCTCAGCCCCTTGGGTTTTGTGTTCAGTTTCAGTTTCTAAAGTATAATTGGGTTGCATCAGCATTGATATTTGCTGCAGTTCAAGGTTTGACTATTAATAAGCTTTTCCTTGTAGGATTCAGAAGACAGGCATTTTTTATTTTTCCTTCTTTCAAGGTGGACTTCTGCTGCCCTACAAGATTTTTATTATGATCCCTTCAGACACATATTCAGCAAGCATCAACAGAGAGCTTTCAAAATACCATCAATGTCTGCTATTAACAAAAATGAAGCATTTAAAGTAGTTAAGCCTTGTAATTCGTATCAGATGAAAGCATAGAGATCCTTTTAGATTTAATTTACATTACTTTTCATCTGCGGAGGTTAGAAAAAGCACGGTCAGAATGGCATGGCTAGATTCAGTTCTAACTAGGGCGTGATGATTTATCCATCAAAAAATATACAACTTCACAATCCCGAGCATGCAAAATGTTGTTAGGAGCCATAAATGTATTTGTGTCACTGGAAACAGCAGCGCAAAGATAGGCTCATTGAATTGCAGTCCTGTTTGGAAAAGGGTAAAACACAAGACAACTCCCTTCTGCTACATGGTCACACCTATTCAAGACGGTACTTGCTGAGGACTGCAGCTAGCAACAATTAGCCATGTGCATACTTCTGTAAACACACACAGAAGGAGTGAGCAGATTCCTCGACCACTGAAATCTGCAGGTTTAATGATACTTTTATCTGAGCTAGGAATTCATTTCCGTCATAAGGGATTTCTTTTTCCAGCTCTTGACGTCAGTTCAGAATGGTGAGATTATTACAACCATGTATTTTACAGCCTACTTTTTATTTTGATAATAAAGTAAGAGCAGACATACTTTAGCAAGGAGAGCCACCCAGCATCCATCTCATGACATGAAGCCTGCACAGCTGGGCTGATGCTCTATTCCAAAATGTTTCCTATGTGAATATTGTAAGGCAAAGTTTAGACTCTGCACTGAGGTGCCAGAGGCATCTTGTTAGTCTAAATGCCCCCGTGATGGTGATACCTCCGTTCTGTCTTGGTCTAAGTAAATCTCTCAGAACGAGAGGAACTGGCAGGAGCACTAGTTCGTCAGCCCAGAGGACCAGGAGCACACCCAACAGAAACTCAGGACACCATCTGGTTCCGCAGAAGGTCTGGCATCTTTTGCCAATGTCCGAGCTAAAGAGGTCTATCTCAGAGCACCCTCAGCACCAGAAAATGGTGTTCAGGGTGTTGAGTACTATCTCCCACTTGCAATCCAACAGTAAGATACAGTCCAGCTTTCAGGATGTTTACGATACGTGCAAATTGGATTCCCAACACATAGTTCTGATTTCCAGGCACCCTTTCCAAACCTTGATCACTTCCCCACAGAGTAAAAGGGGCCACATACCACTTTAAGCGTTACTACAGTAAATGGTATTAGTATTGTCGGTCATGTCATGGACATGGTATCCCTAGAGACGAGGCCAACACTTTGCATGGATTTTGTACTGGCCTGAGTTCCAAGATATTGATTTGAAACTTTTCATTCACAAAAGACTATTGGCTAAGCCACCACCCTTGGAGTGATGGATGTATCAGAAGGAAACTGGATAGCCAAGAAAAACAGAAGAGCAACTACTTGCATATTCTGGCTGGGTTTTCCCACTGGCACAGGAACATGTCACCTCTCATGCTCAGAAGGTGTCTTCTCCTAGGGCAATTCAAAGAGTACAGGCAGGTCTGTATTCACAGTCTGACACGAGCTAGACATATGCTGCCATGTGACTCAGAGAGGTATACAGAATCTCACTACCAAGAAACGTGTGATCCGAGGCTGTGCCAAGACGTGTGATAAATGCCATGGCTGCAACCACTGCCAGCATCTTGTTAACATCCTCGGTGCTATGCAGACTCCAAACCGGAGGATCTTGTATGGGTAACAGTTCTGTCCCACTGTGAAAGTATTTCCTATGAAACACTCGTCTGGCTATGCTGAAATCTCTATCCTGAAGCTTCCAGGCCCTTTGGCATCCTCCAAAGGGTGTCTAGCAGGGTAAGTGCTAGACACGGATGCCGTAGCCTGCCGCAGAGCCACCAGAAGAGATGGTTGTTCTTGATGGCAGCATCAGTTCCTCTAAGGGGAATGCTCTTAAGGCCAAAAGGTGATGGAGATGTCACAACAGAGGAACCATCTGCCTTGATGCTGGCAAAGAAATGGAGGAAGCAGCCCTCTGCTGACTCTTTGGTCTCGACAGCGTGAGCTGGAGCCTCGGTTCTCGCAGCCAGGCTCAGTAACCCACGCCACGTTGTCGGTGAATCCAGGGCTTGCAGTACCTCACCACCCTTGTGGCAGCGCAGGGAAAGAGTTAGGGCAGCCCACGCTTAGTCTTTCAGAGGTGGTCACAGGGATACAAGATCGGGACTTTTCACTGGCCCAGAAAAAGAACCAAAGAATTTGACGCGGCAGAGCTTTCTCTGTCCATAACTGCGCCGGATGTCTTCACGAGAGGACTGTGATGGATCTGTAGCTTTCTGCCCCTTTGGGTCCCAGGTTTAAGAGAGAATTTCTTCGGTACATGCTTTCACCAAGGCAACAGAAATATTTGATGGAGTCTGACTCACACATGTGGTAGATACCTGGAATGCAGCTTTGGAAGAGGCATCGCTATGGTACAGAGATAAAAGCTGGCTGGGGGAAAAAGTAATAGCAGTGGGAATAGATGGAAATAAAGAGAAGGAGAAATGAACTGAAAGGGCTCTAGATGTACTCCACCCTACGCAGCCATTGGGGAGGGAGAGCACGATGTCAGCACTTCATTTATGGAAACTGTGAACAAAAAATATCCATGCTTGTGATATAAGGAGTATGTACATCTAAGAGTGTATCTGTCAATAATCACACCAAGATATAACAAAAGCATACGCTGGCATACTATCTTTTGTTACTTGTTCCTTCTGCTGAAAAGTATTGTGTACGTTTCAAAACAGGGGTTAATAAAATTAAAATAATTAATTTGTTTTAACTGATTAAAACATTCCAGTAACCTAGATGGAAATATTTCAGGGGGTTTATTTTGCTACAGTAAAACAAGATGTGCATTTTTAGAATGACCTGAACTAAAGAATTCTTTTAAAGTTTTGCTTTCTATCAACTTTTTTTTTTTTTTTTTAACATAATGGTAATGCTAAAAGGTGTTCTAATAACCTAAAGAAAGAGATTTAATATGTTACAACCATGCACTACATCACAGAATTGGGCTATCTTATTCCTTAGTTTATTAATTTAAAAATTATAACCCAAACAGAAAAAAACCCTCTAAACTGTAATACATTTGACAGACTTGAATAAATTTGAATATAGCTTTATGTTGGAGGCAAAGCTTCAGGGAGCTGCTGCTTTCGTCAATAAACACTCTGTGTGGTCATTCTAAGAGGCCCATAATGACCATTTATCTTCAGGGAAGGCCGTAGCTCACAGAATGTCAGTCACTGGAAGCGGCGGTGTTCAGTTACTGGTAAAGGCCTCAAAAGATGCCTCACACTGGGACTCTGCAGAACAGAGCTCTTTTCCCACTAAGGGGAAAGATGCTCCTCAGGACATTGGGTGGAAGGGCTGCTAGGCTGATGGAGAAATCCATATAGAAGTGGATCATAGCCCTTCACCACACAATTAATGAATAAAATGAAGAAAAGCAGTAACACTGTGAATTAATGATACTGAGTGAATAAGCTCTTAATGACCCAATCTTGATACAGTTTAATTCCAAAAATGTGAAATCGAGAAATACATTAGAAGTACTAAAATAAACTGAACTGTGTAATGACCGCTCCTTCTTGATAAACAGCAATGGCTGTTAGCCGTAAATATGACATAGCACTAAAATAATAACCTTTAGCATGTGAAAGCTATAAGGGTATTTTTGACAGTTGTAATCACCAATACTCATGAAGAAATACCCTTTCCATAGTAAATAGCTCTTGGTGGGAGCCATTTATTTAAAGCTAGTAGGAATATAAAAAGTGAATTTGTCTGAAAGAATTGATTCTGCAGGATTAGTATTGTAGCAGTTAGGTTCAAAATGTGCGTCTCCGCACTTACTGTAGAACAAACAGAGCAGAGCGGTACTTGGCGTTTTGAACATAAGCATTAAATCCACATAAACAATTTATTAGTTCCAATAAAATCAAAGGATAAAGAATTATTCAAAATGAAGTTCTCTCTGTTGTAAGCATAATTTGCACTTCAGCATAATTTCAAATGTTGTCCTATTTTCCTTAGACAAAGAAAACAAGAACCAGTCATCATTTGCACTTTTTGGATTACAAATCTTCTCCCAAAATTGCTGTAGCTTTTTCATTTCCATTTCAATCCATTACCATTAAGGGATTAAAAAGGCCGATGGCTTAAAGTTTCTTTAAACTGCTTTCAAATTCTCAGTCACTGGGACATTAAATGATTTTCTAAAATGCAAATTTAAAGAGGAAAGTCACTGAAAAAAGGCAACGAGACCCACAGAAAACCTGCTGCATATATTGAGAAGACCTTACAATTAAGATGCTATTTTCTTCCTAATTCACAACCTCTCTTAAAACCAAGGAACAGAAGCACAGGGAATCTTACTAAAAAGAAATCAAGCTGTAAAATGGTAGGTACCTCTTGAGTCAGCAAGGTATCTAAGCATGTGCCTAACTCTAAAGCACATAAAACTTACACTCAGTGCACTGGAAATTCCTAAGTATTTTGCTGACGATGTTCCATGGGATGGGTGGTAAATGTCAATTATCATTAACATTTTTTGTGATCAAGAATCATTGTCAGCTGACAGATACCAGATTTTTCTCCTTGTGCTGGTGGAGCCACACCAACTTGTATTAGCTGAGCAGGTAACTAAAACACATCAAGCTGTAGACTTTTTCTTAAAAATAGCTGTGTCTTCTCCATCCATGAGAACTAACCTATTCTGTCAAGAACTGAACACTATGCAACAGAGCATTTAATTTATGTGCAATATTTGTTTGAACTCATATTCAGAAGCCTAGGAAGGCATGCTAGCAGCTCTTGCACAAAAGCGGGATCAGACTGGAAGTTTGTTTATCTTTGGCTAAATGGGGGGGAAATGGAGGGAAGGAAGTCTTTGTGACAGGTAGTTTTCTAATTTGCTTAAAATCTTACAAAACAAATGCCAGATTTTCACCACTATTTTACACATTATTCTGTGGAACTCTAGAGATGACAGATGATTAACTCAAGAAATGAAGGTCCACCTCACATTCACATGGGGAAAGAGGAGAGGGCATGCTTGCCACAGAAGATCTGGGTAAACGCCTTTGAACCTCGCTGATTCTTCAATGAGATCAGTGCTGGTCAGAGCCTTTGCAGGCTTTTTGCTTCACTATCATCCTCCAGTTGTTAACGTCCTTTAAAGGACCATGACGACTGCGTGAGCCCAAATGCCAGCTTATGCCGAGCCTGCCGGTGCTGGCTGCAGAGCCCCTTGAGCTCATTCTCCTTGAGCTGTGCAATGGGATGGGAGGCAGAGCAAAGTAAGGTCACCCATTATTTTGAGGCTGAAAAGCACAATTGTGCATAGGTAACATTTCACCTGATTTTTCACTACCCTTCAGAGGACAGAATCACCAGTACCTCTTGGCTGCAGAATAGAGAAAAGATTTCACTCAAAAACTGAACTGTAAACCAACATATGCCATCTTACCTTCCAAATGTTCTGTTGTAACCAGTCCTAATGCTACCATGAAGGCAATTTTCTAAGGAAAAAATAAACAGGGGTTAGATTTCCTACAACAACCATGGAAGAAGTAAGTAAATAAATAAATCTAGCATTGCCAGAACAAAACCAGTGAAGGTCGTTTAGAAATGATTCTTATTTGAATGCAGAGTAATATGAAGAACTCTAATTGACAATTTGCTTCAGATATGCCTGGTCAGTCATGTCCTACTTTTATGACTATATGAACTTCAGCAGTTCAGAGACTTATGAAGCCAATGCTGTATGACTACTGATTTTATACAGCGCATGACCAAAATTCAGTCAATTCAATCAATTCAATTTCATATTGCTGGCTGCTTTGTTACTCCACTCTTTAGAGAATTAATTGTGTATTATTACTACTATCTGGACATGGCACTGCTTTTATTGGATATGAGCAAGCTGTATGAAGTAAAACAAGGTATGATACACTTCCACTGAACTTTACAACACTAAACAAGACATCTGAAGCATATTGAAAGTCCCCTCCCCCCAACAAAACTTTCAGAAATTTCTCTTCCCAAGTTACAGAAAGAATATCATGTGCATGAATTATGAGGAGGTATACTGATCCAATATTTTCCCTAAATGGGGAGTGAACAAACATCTCCCACTGACACTGGTGAACTCATTTTGTAGCAAGGAATCTGATCTAAAATATTACTCAGAACTCTTGCACACCGTATGTGCACAAAACACATCTTCATACTAACAAATCTCCAAAACATGCCGATTCAGCAATAGAGCAAGTAGTAGAGCAGATTCTAAATTTTGTGTCAGTGATTTTTCATTGGGAAATTTTCCCTTGTGGGAGAAGTTTTGCTGAAGCTTTTATTCCATCTTTTTGATGGAAAACTGAAATTCTCCTGTGTTGTTCCAAGCTCAAACTGAACTGAACTCCTTGATTTTGAGTCACATCTGTGGTACCGTGGGGCCTCCAGGATCTCTTCCTCTTCCTGCTGTGCTGAACAATCTTGTTGGATCATGTTACCCAAGTGGCGTTTTCACAAGGTGCAATTCCACAGCAGAGACAATCTGACTACGAAACCCAAGCTATTAGGAAATCTAAGCAAGCAAAGCCCACAATCCAACTCTGATAAAGCATCCAAAGACTATAGGAAGATGCAATTACCATACTCACCTAAAATAAAATGTGTAGATTCAGGTCAAACTAAAATACATTGTTTAAGCAGTAGAAGGTCAAAACATTCTGTTTCAATCAAAGAAGTGTCAGGAGAACATGTTTCAACACTTCCAAGTCAAAATTAGTTTGACCTTCTTGTTTTGTGGAAAGCTTGATGATTCAACTTTTCATTTCAGTTCAGGATAAAATCAACTAGTAAGTCACCAGAACTACCATTTCCTTTGCAATTCTGAATTTCACACAGTGAAATTGTGAAAGCAAGCACATCCTCATTCTGTAGATGAAAAGATCTAGCTATGGGGTGGGTTCTCCAAATCTGAGGGTCAGGATTGGACATCTATACCCCTCTTGTATCTGTGAAAATATCTTTGTCAAACAGGTGAACTAACAACCTCATAAGACAGGAATATTTTCTTTCCACAATCTCCTAGTATGCCACTCTCCCTGTAGATTAAAAAATGGTGATGTAGAATCTCATCATTGGCAATTTAGATATATTCATGCTATATTTCTGCCTTCTGTAACTGTGGTAATGACAAGCACATGTGTTCATTTGCATGTCAGACCTTGATTTCAATAATGTTCACTCCTTATAAGTCTAAAACACCAGCTAGACACAGTCGGAGCTCCACACCTGAAGGGAAAGACGAATATTTGATCCGAGATCCACTGTGCAGATCTGAGAAGAAAATTAGTCAACTGAGTAGAATTACAAGCTTCACCTCACCCCCACCAAAAAGTAACTTTGTGGCAGGATACATCTCAGCGCTCTGAGCAGAAGTAATAACAACATTTAGGTATAGAATCAGAAAGTCGGAACAGTTAACGTGCAATTGTATTTTCCCAGTGGAGCGCAGAATGCCTGCATTACCTGAAGATTAAACTGTAGGGGGAGCACACATTTTCTGACATCTAAACTAAAATTATTTGAGTACTGGAATGCTTGCTAAACCATTTCCTCTCTTCATGCTAAAATTATTTGAATACTTATCTAATTAAATGTAATGAGAGCATACTTGCTTAACATAGGAAGAGGCTTCATAAATGGACTTGATAATTATCTCACTATTAAACACAGGAAGGGTTAGCTTTTATAGATATTTGAAAGATGGTTCCTTTTAAAAAAGTCCCAGTAGAAGCTGTGTTCTTTTTAACAAGCATATTATATTAACAGCATATTTGTTTTTATGGGTTTTGCTATATCGCAGTCATGTAGCTCGTTGGATTCAACTCAAAATACTACTTCTGCTGCAACGCTTTTCTTTCAGTTATCACAGAGTCTCTTGTTTCTCCTCTGTGCGGGAATCCACAAAAGCGAGGCTTCGGTTTCTCCAGATTTTCAATCCAGGCCTAACACTAGCATTTAATTCACAATTGCAATTTGTCTCTCTTGTCCTTCTTAGGTGGGATTAAAACCACTGTTAGCTAAATAACCAGCACTTATGGCAGTAATTTTTTTCTTTTAAATAAAAAACTGCTAGAACATCCTGGAAAACGTTGCCAGAAATATAAAACTTTACTAATATAAATTTTTTAAAAACTAAATATTTGGGGGCAGAATTCTGTTTCTGTCTGTGCTGAACTCGGTCATTTTAAGAAAACAACAACAAAAAAAATTAAAAAAAACCCCCAAACCTCCAGGCACTTGCTTCCCAGAGGAGCAGCTCCCTCGCATAATTCCGTGATTTCTTTGCAGAAGTCATTCTGGTGGGAGAAGGCCCATCACTAGACGGGCAGTTATTGCCCTCCATCCCCAGCAGAGCCCTGCCGATGGCAGGCAGCGGGTGGCCCGTTTCTCCCGACCCCCCTCAGCCCCAGGGTGACTGAACCCTCAGGGTTTATAGCCCAGGAGAGGGCTCTGACCGCCGGAGCTGGGACACCCTGGGTGGCGGAGACCCTCCATCCCGCTTCTGGGAAGAGCCAGGCATCCCGGCATCCCGGCTGCAACACAGCGGACGCGAGGAGGTTGCTGGAGTCTAATGATGACGTACTTGGGAAAAGGAGAAATCTTCGGCTTATGCAAAAGGCATATGTATTGCAGGGGGCTGTGTCCAGGATCGGCTTCACAGCTTTCCAGCAGAATGACCGAGCCAAGAAAAAAAGACAGTAATTATCCTCAGTCTTTTTCTGTTCATTCAGGTACGCTCAGTAACTGCATATGGGATTCCTGGCTACTGGTAAGTCTGGTGATTTCTGGTTTATTTGTTTTAAATTTTCAATTTAATTTGTTAAATCCCAGTCTGTCATGACTAACACTTGTGTAGAGCCATGTTGGAGTTCCTGCCTCTGTTTTGTGCTTTGAAGATAAATAAAGGTGTGGAGAGAAGTGCCTAGCGTGTTTATTTGCTTTTTTAAAATATCATGGTATCTTTCTTACTCTTTGCCTTAAATTTAATCATCTGTTTAAAAGCCACGAGTGCTTTTAGAAATGCGCAGTTTGTCTTTTCATGAAGCAAAACAAAGATTTTTACAAAACCATTTCGTTTTGTAATTACATGTTCTATTTATGTCATTACATGTATTTACACTAATTATGCTGTTAGTTCTAATTACACTAATTGCATAAATACATGATAATCAACTAAAGTTTACTTTCAAAGAACAAAAGAAATTAACTCTAGACCTACATATTTATGACCATGAAACAAATCTATGAAAAGAAAAGAATCACCCTACTTAAGGGCATAGCTTCAGCATCCTACCCTGAAAATTGTGCCTGCCGAGACCTCCAGTATACACGGTAGGAACAACGTTATTGGTTACAGAACAGGTAGTCAGGACATTCTAGTTAGCAATTTAATGAAAAGCTCATTAAAATTATGAATGCTGTACCAAAAAGTGTGCCCAGTCCCATGGTCTCTTCCTGCATGTCTCTGGAAGATTTTTGCTCAATGTCCTTGTTTCTGCTGGAATAAAATTAATTTTCTTCCTAGTAGCTGGTATAGTGCTGTGTTTTGGATTTAGGATGAGAAGAATGTTGATAACACACTGATGTTTTCAGTTGCTGCTAAGCAGTGTTTATACTAAACCAAGGACTTTTCAGCTTTTCATACTGCCCTGCCAGCGGAGGCTGCGGGAGACACAAGAAACTGGGAGGGGACACAGCCAGGACACCTGACCCAAATGGCCAAACGGGTATTCCAGACCATGTCACGTCACGCCCAGTATATAAACTGGGGGGAGGTGGCCTGGGGGCACTGCGGCACACATCAGCTTGGGGATTGGCTGGGCATCCATCAGCAGGTGGTGAGCAGTTGTATTGTGCATCACTTATTATTAATATTATTATTATTATTATTATCCCTTCCTTTTCTGTCCTATTAAACTGTCTTTATCTCAACCCATGAGTTTTAATTTTTTTTTTTCCCAATTCTCTCCCCATCCCACTGCAGGGGGGTGGTGAGCGAGTGGCTGCGTGGTGCTTAGTTGCCAGCTGGGGTTAAACCATGACACTCAAAATTCTTTCCATGGGGATGAGTTACAGGCAAAGAAAAATGGATGTTTTTTCTAGCATTCTTTTTTTAAGCAGGATCTACTAGCCTTTCTGCCCATAAGGTGCCACACAACAAATAATCTTTCAGAAATACCTCCCTAAACAAAACAGGACCGTACAGTCCCATCATTCAGTGGCAATGAAGATTCATATGAGGGTCAGATTTTAAACTTGGGAGGTTTCCTAAGCGTAGTTCTACAGAGCTTCTGCATAAAGCTGTGATGTTCTAGGCTAAAAGCCACTATTTATACTTAACATTGTTTTAACTATACAAACCTCTTAAAATGGTAAAACAAATGACTGTCCACACGCCTCAAGTAACATCATAAATTTATATTGTAATAATCCTCTTAAAGCTACAGCTCCAAGGATGCTTTCATGCTACACATTTATTAGACTAGTAAGGTTAAGATTTTACATGAGCTGAGCATTTCCACAATAGAAGTAGATTCAGTTTGTATAAATTCTCAAATTTTCTCGAAAGTACACAGAACCTAATGTGAACACATCTAGTCAAAACCCAAAATGCCTATTAAAGAGAGACCCCATTTCTAGAAGGACTTCTGATTTATATTTTTAGTTTGCATCACAAATATAGTTCATGAAAGAGATTTAATCTTATAACCTGCTTTCTACTCTCTTACTCAATTTGAAGGATTTTAAGGTGTTTCAGACTGGAAGGAATCTGTGTACATGTGGGAAGACATGTACACAGCAAATGCAAGAAACGGTATTGTTAAATACAATCTAAAAATTGCAAGATTCATTACAAAGAAGATGTAAAAGCTCAGCTTACAAAAGAAATGTTAATTTAACCTCATACTCTGCCTGTAAACCCAAAGTTATATATTTGATATCATAAAAGAAAATATCTTAAGCTTGTATACACCTTTCACAAGAAATACAGCTATACCCACGCAAGGTGCCTTGATTATGATGAGACCTCCTATTCTTAACATTTTGTGACACTGGAAGGTTTGAATGATGCAAACCAAATTTGTCAGAGCACCTCACTGGTGGGGACATCCCCCCGATTGCAGTGATTGGGTAGAGAGATGAACAGCTGGCAGAACCATGAGCACAAATGCAGTAATTTCGTATGCACGCAGAAAAATGTTTAGAATTGGCCCCCATAATTTAACCGCGCTGTAGATCACTTATTAAAAAAAAAAAGAAAAAAAGATCACCTCTGGATTTTCCTCCTTTTTCTTTTTGGTAGCAGGGGGTCCCTGAGCTGACTCTTCAGGAGGTTTCTTTGTCTCCACTTTACTTTCTGTCTGGGTTTGGACTTGAGGCTGAATAATGATAACCTAAAAGACAATGTACAAATAAAGAAGAGAATTCACTATATGAAACTGGATTTTTCTGCCTGAAACCTTTGATTCTTCTTTGAAGTGTTACTTGATACCCCTACAGACAACAAATGCAAGTCACAAGCCAAAAAATCTAAAGCTGGATACCTAGGTTAGGCTTCTAAATCCATATTTAACTTTCTAAAAATTAATTTTTATTGATGCATTATAAACCTACTGCAGCCTAAGGGAGCCACTTGATCAGTGCCTCTGAAAATTAGGACACTTTCTATTTAGAGGACTTCTGAAGCTGACTCAGCAGCCTAGCTTTAGCACTCTTGTTGTCAGTGATTTTAAGGTCTTTCCTTTGATTTTATTTTGCATACAGGTAGAAGAGACGGGATTACTACACATTCAAAACCACACTCTGACCTTAGTCATATCAGTGTTATTTCAGAGCAAGTACATGTGGATGGGAAGGAAGATTACTCTTCAGTACTACTCACGTAACTGAGATCAGAGTTCAGTCCTCAGCATTTATGTGTTATGAGCAGTGGATGTCCAGTTTTACATAAACAAAATAAACTATATGTGTTTTAACTTAAAATTAATTCCGGTTTAGTACCCATAGGAATAACTACACGGATCTCTTATACATGCATGCATGTTAGTGTATCCAGCTGCTCGTATTTGAATTACCACATGAAGATTTACACGGTGCAGATAACGTTATCTCAGAAGCTATTAAATTAAAAGGAATGAAGGACAATTTCTGACCACAGAACTACACATATGATTTTATACCCATGATCAAAGTATGGAAGACCTTCCCAAGCTCACCTTCTTGATGAAGGTTATTGGATTCGAATACTGGGCCTTCTCCATCTATTTCATTGCTAACTTTCAATTAATGTTATTTAATTGTTATATACTTTTTCTCAACTCAGTCACTCTAGAAGATTCAAGAGCATAAAAAGGGATGGTTTTCTTAATGAGCAGCCAGTTTAAGTATGAGAAAATAAATCATGCTAGAGATGTAGGGAAGAGATGCCTGCTTTTATTTACCTCAAAAGCCATCCTACATCCTGTATTCTTTTTTAGAACTGCTTGAGAACCTGTGCTGCCAACAAGACCCAAAGTAGTAGGATCCCAGTAGCAAATTACAGTGAACGTCTGCTGGGTACATTGGCAGCCTTTATTGAACCTGTTTCTGGTATAAGAGTGGTGAAGTACTTGCATTTCAAAGCTGAAAAGCAGTACAAAGAGGAAACAAGTAATTCATAACTTGATTTTTTCATACTGATTCATCTGCTGATCATTTTTGAAACCCTGAGCTCTCATTTCATTTGGTCTTCCCCTGAAAGTGTAGAAGGGAATGCCTGATTATTTCATATAGTCCCCCGGGGTCAGTCGATATCACTGTATCACTGTGTAATTGAAGAGGGAGTCCATAGGAAATTTGAGCCTGCACAGAATTCAGGGATATTATTAGTGAGGACCGGTTTAAGGAAATGGAAGATCATATGGTGCCATTAATGTCAGGCTACATAATGATGCATTTTGTTCCCACTAAAAATTATGCTTGTACACAGATAAGATGTCTACTAGTGTCCATGAGTCCCCTTAAGAATTTTCCTCGCTTTCCGATTATTTTCTTCAAAAGGAACCACTGACACCACTCTGCACAGGGCTGTGCACTCCCAGCGGAATATTCTGCTTACATGTGCAATGTAATTCCTGTGTTTGATAACCAAAAAAAAAATGCCGTGAAAAGCAGAACTTACCTTGCTGTCGGCACTAATGAGGAGTGGTTGCACTTTAATGCTATCGTTGACCACAGAGACAGTCGCGCTGGTGCTGATAGGAGTTGCATTGTTGGGGGAGGTGGAAATGATGGCGTACGCCACACCTGCACTGCTCAGAGGTGATGAAATAGCTGTAGACTCGGTGACACTTTGTGACTGGCTGTTAGGCGTCTGTACATGGCTGACGGTGTTGTTGGCAGTCGGGAGGGCAGGGCTGGGGTTTTTGATGCTGACTACAGTTGCCTTCTGGAAGGTAGGAGGCTGCTTGGAAGGTTGGTCTCTGCACGGGGAGATAGGGAGGCTGTCTGGAATCAGGGTCTTTGGCCTAACCTACAAACAGAGAGTTAGACGTTGTTAGGCACAGCCTCACACCATAATGAACAAACACTGCACACATGCACTGTCCCAGTAGAATCTCTAATTGCATTAACCATGGAACAGGAGCATCTAGAAAAACATGATGTAGCAACTCGATGTAGCCAGCCATTCATTTACTTGTAGATATATTCCCAGCGCTCCTCGGTTGGGTCATTTTGGAGTCCTTTAACTCATTGCGATGCTGAACAAGAAGGGGGGAAAAAGTCAATTCCTCACTTTTATTAGCACACATCCATACAAATGCTACTCGAGTCACATCCAGTTCTCAGTAGGGATGTTTAAGCCAAAGCCTCTGCAAAGAATGGAAACCCCAGACGCAATAATTTCCTGTTCTGAAGGACACAACACTTGCTATGAATTAAGGAGTGGGAACTGAATCATTAAGGGAGTTGTGGGAAAGCATTTACAGGAAGAGTAAGCATATGCATTTATACTGGTGGATCAGTGAATGAAGATCCACACATTTTTTAAGATGTGCCTTGACTAATGGAGAGGATATCAGCCACGCAATCACTCAGCTCACCAAAAAAAAAAAAAAAAGAAAAAAAAAAGGGAGGGGAAGAAAACAAACCCACAACCATCGAACTTCATATTTTGTTGCTACGAGTAAAGAGCTAGTTTGCAGCTGCGGGTGGATGCAGAAGGAACTTCCATGGACGGAGGGGAAACCGTTTGTCAAGATTTGCAAAGTCTGCGGCTCTACCCAGAGCCATGAATGATAGCTGCGAACAATTGTTTTCAGCTAATGTGATGTGTTTCCAGTGGGGTAATTAACGTCACCCTGTCAACATGGCTCTCCCTTAACAACATGTTAAGTACAGTTCCAGGACTGAAAATAAATAATTTAAACTGCTTCACATGAAGTTAACTTCACTCCCAGCTTATTCGTTAACACGGCCAGATAAAACAGTCGGTTCCCTCTGTGCTTATTTAGTCCTGTCACTTCTCGCACCTTCCATACTGTGAAACAAAATGACAAGTTGTAACAGACAGACATGGGAAACAGCTGCCTGTGTCACTGCACTGGAGTCTACAGGAGCCCTTCCAATGATGCCGACTTCAATCTTGAGCCTAAGCAAGCAATTTAATGAAAACGCAGGGATGTACTGATGTGCAGAAAATCATCTCCCAAGGCTGGCCATCATCCTCTATCGCGTCAAGGAGGAGCCGTACCCGTTTGTCCCCGCAGCAAGTATGAAGGGCAGCAACGCGGGCACTGCGAGCTCTTCGCGTTTCGATAACTGGGCCCTCGAATGCCGATAGGATCCTAACACCTACGAGCAGCGCAAATGCGTATCGGAGGCACGGTCCTGGTCGGGAGTGTCTAAATTGTCAGTAACCACGGTAGATGGAAAGTGAAAGAGGAAACAGAGCCGAAGAAGAGCAAGGAGGAGGGTTTGCCTGAGGTCCTGCAGCAGGCTCGTGACAAAGCCAGCGAGCCGCTGTGTTCGGCTCACAACTTCAGGGTAACGCTGGAAGGCCTCGTAGACCCACTGTGAAATGATGCAAAACTGTGCTAAACTAGGACTAAACATATTCAAGATACACTGACAGTAACTGAAGGGGTTTTTGCTCTTTTTCCTCTATCCCATCACTTTATGTAATGATTATTTGATTTATTCAGTTAAGATACCAGACAAATACGCTGGCCAAGTTGTTTAAGAGAGGAGTCTATAATTAGCTTCATATTCATAATTAGTTAATGGTCTTATGTTCAAAAGTAGTGCACAACAGATTGACTTAAACCCATCTTGGCCCAGGCATTCTGCAAAACTAAGGCTTCTAAGATAAACAGCTCAGTGCAATAGGAGACATGATACTTAAAGAGACTTGTTCATGTCTGTATCAGAGTCAGTTATACAAGCAGATCTTGTAATATCAACTTTTATATTTTCATAATAATATCCTTTCCCTCCTATGTTATATCTTATGTAAGTCTCTCATGTGTAAGCCTTTAACAAATTGCTCATGCTCATGTGCTCAGAGACGCGTTCACAGAAATAGTATCATTATTCAGGAAAGGAAGTCTGAGAAACTTGGCAAAATACAGTTAAAATGTATTACCATGGCTAAAAAATCCAAATGTAATTCTTAGCTGCTCGGCTAACATATAAATTTTACCACCTCTCCTTAAAACAAAATCATTTTCTTGTAAATTAGTATAACATCTGTTACCAACAGAAATACTGCAAACACACAGATAAGCACATATATAGAGAGAAATAAAGAGAGAGAGAATAAGGAGTAGTTCAGATCAAAGATTTAATAGAACAGTCACTGAGATCTTTAGAAAAAATCAAGTCTGACAAAAAATCAGCTCAGGAGTTTTTCTAGCCAAAAACTGTCATGTAGTCTACCAGGATCTACTGTATCTGTCACTCTTAATTGCACTTTTATATTTAATCAAAAGCCTAATTAAAGCCAAATGCCTATATATATTCCAGCTATATAATTATCTTTTCTACACTATTACACATATATATTGACTGTCAGATGTAATACCTCAATGAATCCTATACACGCCCTTAATACACATTCTGCAAGTTGTGGATGAATGCATACGACTTTGCTATAAAATCAGGTCTTCCTGCACAGACAATTAAGCAGTCTTAATTTTCCAAAGTAACGTATTCTCTATAAAGCACTCCATACTGAAATACCTGATACGACTTGCCAAACTGGTACAGCACAGAACCATATGCCGGGCGTTTTCTGCCACCGTGTGATACAAAGGAGGTATAACGGTCTTCAGAGCCTCCGCCTCTGCAAATTCCCTGGCAAGTTCAGCTAACGTTGTGAGAGCGTATTTATTTGCAGTTATAGAATAATAAAAAGGGCTCACTACAGAAGACGTTTCAGGTGCTCCTGAGTTAAAGCTAAAATAAGTTAAAGTTAAAATAATGTTTATTGCTACAGCCTGCAGGCATGAATCCAAACCAGAAAGCAAGCATAGAAGCCCCTCGTGCTCTAACAAACACCTACGAACCTTCCCCCCATGAATATAAACACTAAGTGTAAGCACTTAATAAACAGCTAAGTGAAAGACCTTTAGCAGAGTTTCACATTAAAACCCAAACTGCTACAGTAATCTGTGAGAATAAATGGTGTCAACTGGGAAGAAAAAAATGAAGGAAACAGCTAGAGTAAATTCCTTTTCCTCACGGCAAAACTGTAGCTTAAATTTGGGAGATGAAAGGAGGACAGTGGCACTAGCAGAAGTTCGGAAGTTGACAGTCACTGAAGAAGAACTGGAGAAAAACTAGGGCAGGGCACGGACTGCGTTTCACATGAAAGGTATCAAAAAGATGTTTTCTACTGAAAGTAGCACAGCTTGGATGGCAGTGGTCCCCATTACAAGAGCCACAGAAATAAAAGGCGCAAAAGTTCAGCAAGGGAAGAGAAAAGAGAAAGAATAACAGACAGCATGTATGTTACCAAGCGAAAACTGCAACTGTTGGCGAGCGCTGCAAATAACAATTCTCCTGTAGCTCAACCCTCCTCTCCCTGAATATCTTTCATTTAACTTCTGACAGCTGTCAAAACAGAATGTGATACTACCAGGGCTCTAAATGCAGGAGGAGAGAGCTGCTTCTTGAATATAATGATTTTACAAACCCATGTTGTTCTTGAGTTTCCTCAATACCCACAATAACAGAAACATTTGATTTTAGGCAGCAATATTCAGATGTCCAAAGGCTTCCATTACACTGAAACATCATTCCAGCTCTCAAGAGCACAAATTGTTGAATACCGCAGAGGTGAGCAAACTGCTGAGTGGTGGAGGTGGGAGAGCCTGATGTGTGTCACCACTGACAAAGGCAACTGTGATCACGGGCAATCTATTTCCTGAGCTACATCCCATCAGGCGAGCCGCTCCCACACTGTAGTAAAGCAAAAGAAGGTAAAAAAGAAAAACTCTTACAAAATAAGCCCTCAAGATCCAACCCAAACAAGTATGGGGGAAAAGGAGGAGAAGGGAAGGAAAGCACACAATTCCTCCCATCTCTGTGGACAATTCCATGTAGTCCTAAAGGACAGGATTTAATTAGAACAGTTATCTCTGTGCAGATCTGCAGGTGCTATGAGAATTGTTAAGGGCAATTCTGGTAAATGTGTTCTCCTTACGGCCTAGCAAAGAAGGGAAGTTAACAAGTGCACTTCAATTATAAAACCAAAAGGGATCACCATGATCCTCCAGCTCATAGACTGGCCATAGAATTTCTCCCAGAAACTGAAGGTTGATTTTAAAAGAAAATACTAAAGGCTTCTTAATGATTAATTCATCACGAGCCCCAATAAACTGTTACAATATTTTATTACGTGCATGACTGGCATTTTATTGCGAGGTTGAATTTGCCTAACTTCAGCTTTCAGTCCCTGGATCTTGTTACAGCTTTGTCAGCAACACTGAAGAGCCCTCCCCCTCCCCAATATCAGATATCAGCTGGATCGTGCTCAGCATCAATCAGCCCTTCATACTGGCAGGGCCGATCTGTATGAGACTAAATTTTTCAGCTCAACGCAATATCACATTGCCTTTGAGAGAAAGACCATTATTCACACTTTATTTTCACTTCACCCTTGTACTCGGAGCTTAAAAACAAAAACTCAAAATGGATTTGGCACAATTCATATGTCACAGAGGCAAAGTGCTGGGAGCAGCAGACAGAGCTTTCATTCTTGAAAAGCTTTAGAGGATCACATAGAAAACATTAGCAATGGCTGATAAAATGAGTGCAATATGGGGTAATTATATCCTTCACCAGAATGAACAGATGCACACTGACTTCAGTAAAGCTGTGTCTATTTATGCCAGCTGCGGACCAACTCTCTCCTTCTTCTTTTTTAATCAATAAAAATTATGCAAAAGAAAAGGTTCTGCGCAACTTTACAGCAATGACACACCCTAAAATCCAGGTTGCCCAACTGACCTGAATACAAGTGTTTCCAGC